CCTCCTCCAGCCCCCTACACCCTCCCTCCCCTCTTCCAGCCCCCTACACCCTCCGTCACCTCCTCCAGCCCTCTACACTCATCCATCCCTGTCTCTACTCACCTCCTTCTATTCTCTGAGAAGTCTGTGCTCCTCCAATTCTGGTCTCTTTCACATTCCCCGATTTTGTCATTCCACCAGTCCAGCCATGCCTTGAGCTGTCCTGGGCCCTAATCTCTGGAATTCCATCTGTAAAACCCTCCCAGGTGTCTCTCCCTCGCTATCTCATGCATTGAGATGTTGCTTAAAATTCAACTTCCTTGAGCAGCGCACGGTTAGATTTTGTTTGATTTATGCTCCTGTAGAAAGGAGTATCTACTCACAGTACTGTGCAATAGTTGCATGTTAGCTCTCAGGCTGGTCTCTGTATCTAATATGTAGGCACTTTGCATCCCAAATCTAGACCTGACAACCTCCCAATGTGGTACTGAGGGTGTAATGCACTGATGGAGGCATTTAAACCAGAATTATCCCCAATCTTGATCACAGTCTGGGAGGGTCAGTCTCGGCTCACATTGGAAGCACAGGAGGTGGTTACCAACCCCAGGCCAAACCTCCAATCCCACAGTAGCCTGCAGCAAACTGAAACACTCCCCCAAGTCCTCACCGACCCCATTGGCCACAATGCCCACCTCAAGGATCTCATGAAGCGTGATGAAGTTGGCCGAGCCTTTATCTCTCTCAGCGGCCGATCTCTGGAAAGCGAGAAGTCATACAAGGGTTAATGATGGTCCTCAAGCCGGCACCTACTTCCCTCACCACCCCAGCACCTCATAACGCAGCCGCCTTTTGGCTTATCGTATCTGGACTGGCCCTTTAAGTCAGCAGTTCACCCAGTGTCACTTCACTGTAATAGGAACGCAAAGCCGACGGTTGAAGAATACACCGAGACTGAAATGTTTTGATGGAGACTAGGTCATGCAAGGATTGCAGATATGTTTTTGGAATGTGAAGTGTGCAAAATAGAAAGCTTCCGAGGAATGAGAAAATTCAGAGTGCTGAGGGATCTGGGTGTCTTAAAACATGAATCTCAGGAAAGTAGCATTTGTGTATAGCAGGTAATACAAAAGGCAAGTTGAATTTGTAAATTTATTGCTAAAGGAGAACAGTATGAAAATAGGAGATAAGATGTAGAGCTGGATGAACACAGCAGGCAAAGCAGCATCAGAGGAGCAAGAAAGCTGACATTTCAGGTCTGGACCCTTCTTAATAGGGACGTACTACTACAACTGTACAAGAAACTGGTGTGTCCAATGCATTTTGCATACAGTTTTGGCCCTTTTACTTGACGAGGAATGTATTGGCATTGGAGGCATTTCACAGTAGGCTAACTAGATTGATTTCAGAGATGAAGGGCTTGTTTTGTAAAAAGAAATTGCATAATTTAGGCCTATACTCTCTGGAGAAAGATGAAAGTAGATTTAATTGGGATAGTTAAAGTGCTAAAGGTGATTTCAACGTAGTTATAAACTAGGTATTTCTCCTTGTCAGGCAATGTAGAACAAGAAATCATAGTTTTATGATAAAGGGTAGCAGATTTAAAACAGAGATGAAGAAAAATTACTTCTTTCAAAGGGTCATGAATCTGTGGAATTCCCCCAGACTGCAGTGGATGCCGGGACATCAAGGAGGAGATAGACAGCTCTTTAAATAGTTCTGAAGAACCGTCACTGGACCTGAAACGTTAACTCTGCTTTCTCTCCATACATGCAGCTAGACCTGCTGAGTTTTTACAGTAATTTCTGACTTGATTTTATTCTTCAGCTGAGGTCAAAGGGTCATGACGAGCAGGCAAGAAAGCAGGGTTGACGCCAAGATGAAGTCAACCAGGATTGTACAGTTCCAGTCCTGAGGGGCCTCAATAATGTGGACAGTGAAGAAACTGGGAATGTCGTCCTTGGAAGAGAAGAACAGGACAGGCATTTGAGTGAGGTGTTCAAAACCCAGAGGGGGCCTGGAACACAGTGGAAAGGGAGAAACTGTTCCCATTAGTGGAAGGATTGAGAGTCAGAGAGGACATGGATTGAAGCAATTGGTTGAAAGGGCAACATGAGGAGAAAGGTTTTCACGCTGCAAGTAGTTAGGGTCTGGAACACGCTGCCTGAAAGCATGGAGTGGGGGGAAGCAGGTTCAAATCGAGGATTTCGAGAGGTAATTGTATAGTTATCCAGAAAGGAAGAACACACAGGGTTAAGTCATGGGGAGAAGGCATGGAAATGCAACTAAGTTAATTACAGATTTGGACGGCCATAGCCAATGGGCCAATGGGCCTCTCCCCTGCGCTTCTACAACAACAATTTTCTAAGAAACCCATTAGCTATCAATTGGTCAAGGTGTGCACTGAACAGGAAACAGCAGACACTCCACATAGAGGCAAACGCAGGCTAACACTGTGAGGTGTATGTTGAGCAGATTGCATCCGTACTGGGAGAGGTGCGGTGCAATAACCCTCAGACATTCTCCGAGACTGACGAACCGAACACTGAAATTAAAACTGAAGGTGCAGGAAAACCGGACAGAAAGAGCCCAATGTAGCTCTCTGTACATGTAGATGGAGTTTCTGCCCCACAGACACTCACAAGATCACAGGGCTGAAGATACAAAAGCTTAAACACATGTACTAACAGATTCAAGAATAGCTTCTTCCTCGCTGTTATTAGACTCCTGAATGGACCTCTCAAATTTTAAATTTAATGTTAACCTCTCTCTCCGTGCACCTTCTCGGCAGTTAAAACATTGTATTCCTCGCTCTGTTCTATTACACTAATGCAACTTGTACGGTATGATCTGCCTGTACTGCACACAAAACTTTTCACCATACCTAGGTACATGTGACAATAAATCAAATCAAAATAAAAGAATCAAAGAGGGAGTAATCTTTGAGGCCACAAGAATTTGAAGGGGCTCAGACAGGGGAAAGGCTGAGAGATCATACCGACTGGTTGGGAAATCTAAAACACAGGGGAGGGCACAATCTCAGGATGACTCAGCTGGGGAGAAATGTTTTCACTCAGAGGGTGGTGATTCTTTGGCATTCTCCACCCTGGAGGACATGGAAGCTCTAACCGCAATTTTTGGATGTCCAGGAAATCGAAAGCGTAAGAGAGCGTGTGGGGAAGCAGATTTGAAGCCCAACATTAGTCACCATCAAATTGAATGCAAAAGCAGTGTCAATGAGCCAAACGGCAGTCTCCTGCTCCCATTCTCGGGTCCAGCACCCACTGCTTACCACCGTCTTTGACTGGGTGTCTTTCTCACTGGGGGGAGGATAATGCACATCCAAGAATTTTCCGAGGGCAGACAGGAGCTCGTCCTTCCGATTAGTCACCTTCTCCAAGCGGCTTTTCAACTTCTGGATCTCGCTAAGGTATAGGAAGGGAGAGCAGAGGAAATCAACTAAGGCATCAGGCAGTCTGCACCCAAATGAGGAGCTGAACAACTGACCAAAACAGTGCTGCCTCAGGGATAAATTCTGGCCTAACAACATCAAGATAATTCACCCAGCTCCCCACTCTTCCACCACAAATGATGCTGGGATCCACTTGAGCGCAAACAGTGGCCTGAGGTTTAACAACAAGACAGTGTGGCATTCTCTTGGTGCTGACCCTCCGACAGTGCGGCGCTCCCGCAGCGTTGACCCTCCGACAGCGCGGCGCTCCCGCAGCGCTGATAGTGTGGTGGTGGAACTATACATGAAAAGGGGCAGCATGGTTGGGGGTGGTGTGGAAGACAGTATAGCGCACTCAATATCCAGCATATCCCAACTCAAGGGTCTGTCCCTCACCTGTTCTTGGAGATAACAAGGAAGTTCTGCTGCTGATGGTCAAATCTCTCCTGCACGGTCTTTTCTAACTCCAGCTGTTCCTCAAGCCACTTCTGCTCCCTGCAAAAAATCCCACGAGAAAAGAGGATCTTGAAAAGTAGGAGTATGAGGCCGCTAAGCCCTCTCTTCGAGCCTGTTACACAGGAATAGAAGGAGGCCCATTCAGCCAGCTCTTCATTTAACAAGATCATGGTTGATCTGGTTGTAATCTCAAAACCACATCCGGGCCTACACTTTAGAACCGTTCACCCAAACCCTCATTTATCAAGAATCTACCCACTAAAATAACACAAAGATCAGCAGATTCTGGAAATCTGAAACAAAAATGGAAAATGCCAGAGAAACCCAGCATCTGTAGAGAGAAAGCAGAGTTTATGTTTCGGGTCCTGTGACCCTTCTGCCCAAGTTTAAAAATTTTGCCTACTCTCTGTCTTAAATGGGTCACCTCTGTTATGAATAGGTAACCTCTGATTTTTAAAGTCAAGCCCTTTGCTCTAAATTCCCCAACAAGTGGAAAAAATCTCTCTATACCTCACCCTGTCAAGACTCCCTCAGAATCTTAGATGTTTCAATCAAGTCTCCTTACTCTGCTAAATTCCAGTTGATACAAGCCCTGTCTATCCAACTTTTCCAGGGATCATTCTGGGTAAAATCTTTTCTGAACTGCCTCCAAAGCATTTACATATTTCCTTAAATAAAGGAGGGAAATACTGTGTAAAGTATTCCAGATGCAGACTCATCAGTTCACTAAATAATTTTAACTAGCATCAGTTTTCTTCAAGATAAATGAAAGTTCTAATTCTACTAGCTTTCCTGATTACTTGCTGTACCTGCAGACTAACTTTCTGTGATTCATACCCAGGGACACCTAGATCCCTCTGCAGGTCCATTCAAGGCCTCTACTCTAATTCGCCACGTGTTCCACTCATGAACCTGGACCTTACTGCTTTTAGACTCCATCCACCTCGTTCGAGAGACAGTGTGTCACATGTGGGATACCGTCATGGACGTAAAGACTGCCGCTCAGCTCTCACAGGAATGTACTGTCCCTCCTGCATGGGCTGAAGATGTTGGGAAGCTGTTGTCAGCGATTTACCCCTTCCATCTCCTTGCCCAGAGAATACTTGAGAAGCACCCTCTAGTCAGAAATGTCTCTGGGATTTGTTGGCTACTAGCGTATATTTACAGTGCGTTTAGCTTTGGGGCCAACTCAGCCCAGAGACTCAACGGCCTGCAGCAACTCAGTCTGGGCACCCACAAACTGAACCAAGCTGGTGGGAGGAGGGGGGGGGAATAAAGAGCAGAATTATCTCTGACAAACCTCTCCAACTCCTCCTGTAAGGATTTCTTCCTTGCTCTGACGCAAGACAGGATCATCTCCAGTTGTTTGATGGTATTCTGTAACTGATAGAGCAGACAGGTAGGTTATGAAAAGACACAGTAACCAACAGCTCGCCCTATTATTGTATGCCAGCTAAACAGAGGGTAAAGTACAACATGGGCTAGACAGAGACTGAAGCTTCCTTTAAATTCAGATAAAGCTTGCTGTACCCTTTTAAACTGAAATTATAGCTCCCTTCAGTGTCCCCATCAAACATTCCCAGGACAGGTACAGGATGAAGTAGGTACACAGTAAAGCTCTCTTGTTTCTTTTAAACTGGAAGTAAAACTACACTGTCCCCATAAACACTTCCAGGGCAGGTACAGCACAGGGTTAGGTACAGGGTAAAGTTGCCTCTACTCGTTTAAAAATTAAAGTAAATGTCCCTCAATACAGTCCCCAACAAACACTCCCAGGACAGGAACAGCACAGTGTTAGATACAAAGTAAAGCTTCCTCTACTCTTCTACTTTCTCTACTCTTTTAAACTGAAAGTAAATGTTCTTCAGTACTGTTTCCATCAAACATTCCCAGGACAGCTACAGTATAGGGTAAGATACAGAGCAAAACTCATTCAACACACTGAAAATATGTAATTCAGGGTAAAGAAAACGATCTCACCTCTTGCTTCCCCAAACAAGTCAGCACCTCATTATTGGCCAGTAGAGCTACAGAAGAGAAACATTAAAAAAACATGAAACATAAAATCTGACAAGTTTGAGCCTCTTTTTGCTCCTTTCAGCCCCGTCCTTGAGCCTGGTCCACCATTCAACATGATCACGACTGATGTGTGAGCTAACTTCATATACCGCCTTTGCTCCATAATTGCTCAGTGCTTTTGATTAACATAAATCTCTCAATCTCTTGGACTTAAGATTAACAGACCAGGCTTTAAAGTGCCACTTGCAGGAGAGTTCCAAACTGTCCCATCCACCTCACAACCCCGAGTCGAAACATTGTGTGTCTATTGCAGTATGTACTATGATGGAATTACAAAGGGGACTTCAATGAGGTAGATGTGGAGAACACATTTCCAGTCGCCTGGCAAGTATAAATAGGGGGCCATGAAGACAAGACTCTCACTGCAGGATGTTTAAAAGTGAGACCCGCAATTCCACTACAGGATGCAGGAGCGATGGTAGAAAGAGAGGAAAAATTTTCAATCTTTTAACCACGTGCCCAAACATTGTGTGTCACGTGTTTCCAAATGGCCCTTCTGAAAGGTTCTGGCTGTCAATTTTAGGCTGTCCCCCTAAACCTTCCAAGCTCCAGATTCCCAATCCATGTTTAATCTTCCCTTATCATTTCTTCCCTTGTAGGCTGGTACAGCACTGGGAAATCTATGCTGCACTCTCTCCAAGGTTTGTAACTCCTTCAGTAAGTTTAGGTGTCCACAACTGCTCCACTAATTCCAAGTGGATTTTCTAAACAGGGGATTGACGACAAAAAGCTTGAAAAGTTCCCCTTCCCTCCATCCCAGCAGTGCACACCATTTGCTTCGGATTTGCTCATCTGTTCTGGCTCCAGCTTTATGGTCTACTCACGTTTTGGGGTTCTGTTCTTTTGGACACTTAGCTCTGCCTGGAGAGCTCTTTCCCGAGCAAACAGCACAGCCAGCTGGAGAGACAGGGAATGATAATTATCAGGAGACAGTCAGCAGGTGCCCCTTGCAAATACACCACAGGTGACTGTGTCTCAAAGGTTGAGGAGATGTTCTCACCAACACTGCACCCCTCCCTCAGCACTGACCCTCTCCGGCAGCGCAGCCCTGGCACTGACCCTCCAGCAGCGCAGCACAGCCCTGGTACTGACCCTCCGGCAGTGCAGCGCCTTCATGGCAGCGACCCTCCAGCAGTGCTTGTGGATTTGAAAAACAGATTCTCACCGGATTTTCTGAATCCTGGACCACCTCCCTGATATCGGCGAGGGTGAGTTTGTTCTGGAACTGAACACCGAGAAAGAATGATAGCGAATGACAAAATGAGCATAGGAAGAAGATTGGGAGACAGACCGTCGCATGTGAACCAGGTAGTCGCAGAAATTGCCCGTCAACTGAGCTCGCCCCATTAAACATATTCCAGGGAACAATATTCCCTTGTCAGTCTGACCTGCAGAACTCCTCCACAAATCTAAGTTTCCCAGTATAGACTGTGATGGAATTACAAAGGAGACTTCAATGAGGGACATGTGGAAAACACATTTCCAGTTGCTTGGCAAGTATAAATAGGGGGCCTCTCACTGCGGGATGTTTAAAAATGAGACATACAATTCCATTACAGGATGCAGGAGTGACACTGAGAGAGGAAAATTTTTCAATCTTTCACTGGATGCGTACATCTCCAGCATTCACTGCCCATCACTAACTGCTGCCCCATAGGTGGCACTGCCTTTTTGAACTGCTGCAATCCAGTGTGATGTGGGGACACCTGCAGTGCCTGTTAGGGAGGGAGTTCCAGGAACTTGATCCAGCAACAGTGAAGGATTAGCCAATACTGTTCCAAGTCAGGATGATGGATGGTGACGTGCGTTTGTTCAGAGGGGAACTTGCAGGAGCTCATGTGCCCCGTGTGTCTGCTGCCCTTGTCCTTGCAGGGAGTAGAGGTGGCAGGTTTGGAAGGTGCTGTCGGAGGAGCCCTGGCAAGTCGTTGCAGTGTGTCTCGAGACAATACACACTGCTGCTGCCACGTGCCATTGATGGAGGGAGTGTTGTAGGTGGGAGTGAACACATCGATCAAGAGGGGTATTGCTGGATGGTGTCGACCTTCGAGTTTGTTGGAGCAGCACCCATCCAGGCAAGACGGGAGTATTCCATCACACTCATGACTTGTGCCCTGTCAATGGTGGGACAGGCTTTGGTGGAATTCAGGTGAGTTAGTCACTGAAGAAGTCAGAAGGTGGAAAAAAGCTGCAGGCAGGCAGCAATGGTTTACGAACTACAGTAGACCATTCAACCCCTGTAGCCTGAAACTGCCATTTCATGAGATCAAGGCTGATCTGTGGCCTAGCTGAATATACCTACCTTTGACCCACATCTATTAATACCTTTGCTCAACAAAGATTTATCAATCTCAGATCTAAACCTGACAGAAGAGAAGTGGGAATCAGAGGAACAGGATAAACTGCGAGTGTCTCACCTCTCCCAGCTCCCTCCAGGCCTCGTTGCACTCCTCCAGCACCTCCTCCTCAGCCACATCCGAGAGGGGCTTGGCAGTGACGAGAGGCGGAGGTAGGCTACTCTGGTACAGCGATGCACGTCGAGCCAGCTCCTTGGCCTATAGGAATCACAAGGGTAAGGACCTACACTTCACACACAGGGGCACAGTGCAGCCAGTTAGCATGTCCCATCAAAGCCATCCTCCCCTGTCACCAATTCAGCACCCTCACTTCTCCCCACAGATCTCCCTCGACTTACCCACCCCAACTTCCTTTTAAAAGCATCTACCGTTGTCCTTTCCACTCAACATTCCATCGGGCCCCCACCAGTTCCAGGTCACACTTCAGTTGCAAAACAGGAAGAGGCCATTCAGCCCATCTCCAGAACAGTGAGCATTTGATGCCATTCTCTCCGGATCCCTGCACATTCAACCTTTTTTGTTACACACGGACTCCTCCTGAAAGCCTCGAGCGAACCTCTCCTCTGTACTCTCAGGCAGCGCGTTCCAGAACCTTAGCGCCCGCTGAGCGAGAAAAGGTATTTCTCACATCCCCCTCCTCACTTATCTATACCTTCAATGTGTGTACCCATTCCACATGCCAGACCCTTACCATCAAACAGGACCAGCATTTCCTCGAACTTATCCAATCGTGTCCAATAGGGTCACACAGCACAGAAACAGATCCTTTGGTCCAACCAGTCTGTGTCGAACATAATCCCAAACTAAATTCCCACCTGCCTGCTCCTGGCCCATATCCCTGCAAACAATTCTTATTCCAAGGCTAAAAAAACTTGGGCGGTTTTCTGTGGAACAGTGGAGGCTGAGGGGAGACTTGATAAAAGTCTATAAAATTATGAGATAGGGTTCACAGTCAGAATTTTCTTTCCCCCCAGAGCTGCAATGCCTAATACTAGGGGTTGAGACTCAAGGAACAAAATTTTTGTTTACACAGAGTTGTAGGTGTCTGGAATTCGCTGCCAGGGGATGGTGGTGGAAGCAAACACATAGGGGTGTTTAAGGGGCTTTTAGATAAGCACATGAATGTGCAAGGGATGAAGGGATATAGGGATATGGACCGAGGGCAGGCAGATGGGATTAGTTTATTTTGGCATCATGTTTGACACAACATCATGGGCCGAAGGGCTGTTCCTGTGCCCGCATCCACCAATTCCTCAGGAAGTTCATTCAACACGCGAACCACCCTCTGTGTAAAGAATTTGCCCCTCACGTCATTTTTAAATTTCTCTCCTCTCACCTTAAAAATATGGCTCCTAGTCCTGAAATTCCCCATCCTAGGGAAAAGACACCTACCATTAACCCTATCAATACTACTCATGATTTTATAAACCTCTATAAGGTCACCTCTCAACCTCCTACGCTCTAGCAAAAAAACTTCCAGCCCATCTTTAAAACTCAAACCTTTCATACCCCACCTTTAGGGAAGGAAATCTGCCATCTTCACATGTGACTCCCACAACCACAGGATGCAGTTGACTTTTAACCGCCCTCTGGGTAATATAATTTCTGGCCCAGCCAACGATGCCCACTTCCCACAAATGAATTAAAATAAAAAACACTTTGGCCGGCTCTTGGAGATCAGTCGCGTTTCACAAAAGAATGCTTTCCTTCTCGAGAAATGGACAACAGGCAGCAATCCCAGGCCTGGAGGAGGCACACACAGCGGGATTTCCTGCTGTGGATAAAAGGGGAAAAAGGGAACGTGGCTTACAGAATGGACATACATTCTCACCTCTTCCATAATCTGGTCTTGCAGATCCTGTCAAAGAGGAAAGAAATAATAAAACAAAAACATTTCAAACTCAGCCACACCCCAGGCACCTGGTTTTCAAATTGCAGTAAAGTCCCCATTATCTGACAACGTATGGGGAATGGGGGATCTGCTGGTTGCATGGGAAAAATGCTTACAGAAACACAACACAAATATTCCCTGATTAAAAAATTTTAAATGTAAACATCAAGGAGGCGAGTGCAATTTACTCATTGGATCATGGAAGCTCTCAAGAGTGTCTCAGCAGCAACTAGTACTTGCATCTCAAAAGTGAAGCCCTCAAATTCGGCCCTCCCGAATAAACTTCTTATATTAGCCTGCTGGCACGCTTTACCTCTCTTGTGCAGGGATCGGGAATGCAGGACGCCACAATGAATGTCAAAAAGGCACCTTCGGAGAAAATTCGTAAAAAGCCTCTACGATAACCTGTTGCCGGTCATATGGCAGTTCTGGATGCTCGGGGAGTTTGCAGCAATTCTCGACCACCTGAAGTGCATGCAACACCAGCCTCTAAATCAGAAAGTGCCCCCCCATCCCTTTTCCCCAGTCACCGAGCAGATATTAGTCGAACTACCCAGCCCACCGTCCTGCAGCATCTTACTTTGCAAGGAACAAGTGTGAGGCTGTTTTTTAGACAGAGACACTGCCTGAAACACATCCTCCTGTTCCTTTGTAACAGGCTCGAGGAGGGGCTGCGAAATGGCCTCCTGTTCCTGTGTAACAGGCTTGAGAAGGGGGCTACAGGGGACAGTCAGTAACCAGCTGAATATGACCTCCCCGATTAGATCCATACTCACCATGGTGACCTTCTCCCCACCCCGAGGATCGGCGGGTCCCTGATCTCCTGTGTTAGAAACTGTCACCTGTGGAAGAAAAGAGTCTGATGTCAGAGTGTGATCTTCCCTCTGTGTCACAATCCCCAGTCCTGAATCTCATTCCCACCCCCATCAGGGAGCATCCTTCATAGCCCCTACTCTCTCATATCCTCCCTCTCCTCATATTTCCCACTACCATCATGACACTCCTCCCCCTCATAGCTCCTCCCTCTTAGACCCACTCCTCCATCCCTGATAGCCTTCTCCTTGCACAGCCCTCCCCCACATATCCTGTCCAACCTCATACCCTCACTTACTCCCACATATCCTCTCTGTATCCTCTCCCCTGATTGCCTCCACTTCCCATATCTTCTCCATAAGCCCCCATCACATCTCTCCTCTCCTCATATCTGCTCACATATTCTCCCCATATCCCCTCCCATCTCCACTTATATAGTCCCCCTCCTACACTGACCCCTTCAATATACTCGCTTTTCTCGTATACACAAGTTTTCCAATACCATAACTCCCCTCCCCCTCGTATCTCCTTCCATATACCCACTCCATCACCTCTCAGAGCTCATTACCTCATATCCCCACCCCAACATATACCCCCTTCATATATTCTCCCCTGATCACCTCCTCTACCCATATCCCTCCTCCATCTCAGATTCCCCTACTTCTCATAATCTTCCCCATATTCTCCCTAATATCCACTCCTCATCATATAGCGTCTTCTCCCCATAGACCCCACCCTCATATCCTCACCTTCCCACACATATCCGATCCCATATACCCCATCACCTCATATATCCTCCCCCACACATGTCCTTCCCCATATCCCCTCCCCTTCATATGGCTTCTTCTCCCCATTTCACCCCCTCCCCGTGTCACCCACCCTCATATCTCCCTCCTTGCACATATTTTACCCTCCCTCATATCCTCACCTTCTCCCCCATATCTTCTTCCCTCGATTACCTCCATATATCATACCATACCCTCCTGATATCCCCTCTCTCATATCCCCCAACCTCTCACATATCTGTCAATCATATCTGTGCCCCTCATGTAGCCTATTCTCCCCCAAATTAGCCCCTCTAATATCTCCCTCACCTACATTACTCTACTTCTCCTACACCCCATCCCCTCGGGTATCCTCCCACCGCGCACCCGACCTCCCCTCGGGTAT